TGTGACAATTAAAAGTGAAGAGGGCATAATGAAGTGAGCATCTGAGTGCCCAAAAAAGGTTCACCTGGTGAAGCAGACGAAGGGGAGTTACAAAAAAGACCATAGCCTCTTCTAATTGTGAGCATAGCAGTTAACAGCTTTTTTATGAGTAAACCTGCCCTTTAGACACATATTGATTATTCCGTGGAGAAGCAAGATCTCGTGATATGGCAAAGCACGCTATGGCATCGTCAAGAAACAGGTTCACAGTAGTAAATTTCGACTACTGTTTGAATGTCTTTCATCAAGATGCGCCATACCGTCGAAGAATCTCCCAGCCCTGCGCCATAATAAATCAAAAACGCCGAAAAGTACCATGTGCATTACCCAACCATGTCGAACCCACCTTGATGCATACTGTTGTTGGCGCTCCGAGACTTACGGGAGTCACCGCCTGCGACGGTAAATTCTACAAGTTTCTACTAGTGAGGAATCAGAGGAATCGCGACGTGAACCAGGCTACAGTTCAAAAAAGTGACTCATCGTTAACGCGCAAGGGCGCTTTCATAGTCAGTTGTTCGAAGATGACGATATGACAGTCAACTATGAAAGCGTCCAAACGCTAGTACAAACAGAAGACATCATAAATGACCAACCTGCGTCTAGCTAGTTTTGCTTGTTCAACAAGAATCGCCGATGCCACCACACTCATACGACTCCATTCCTCGTTAGCAATACATTCTCCAATGACTGAGGTGCCCTCAAATAAATTCCCATCAGAAAGATTCAGGCTTTTAGATAACTCAAGCCTCTCATGCAATAACAGATACAAATATTAACAAAAGAGCAGTTCACATCGCAGAAGTGATATTGCAACACCAACCTCGTTAGCAGCTAGAATGAATCTTTCCAAATTATACGCCTTTTCATACCACAACTGATAAATACCTTGTGACAAAAATGTCCCCACTCTTCGTGTCAACTCGAAACTGGGAACAACCACTTTAGGAGACGGGAACAAGCAAAGATATGGATTAGGCGCTACCTAAAAGTACATTATCAGTAAAAGAATAAATGATTCAGCACTGATGAATCCCTTTTGAGACGCGCCACGCATTCTCTTTCCATTTAAAAACTGTACAAATCACTGCTATTATACTTCACAGCTGGTCTTTTACCAAATCATCGACCAGGAGAGCCGGAAGGATTGGTTCGCCAAGACGGAATCAAACGCGACATTCGACCTCTAGACGGTGCACGTGGGGAAAGTTAGGCCACTTTTCAGTTCAGTGATCACCCGGGTCCGAAAAAGAATACTATTAGATGCAAAAAACCTTGAATGCAAACAAGGAAAAACATAAAAAATCTATTCCGCTTAGAAGCGAGAAACTATTTTTTGTCACGCCTACCAGACTACAGTAAAAAGAATCTCACACTACTACGCATCACTGCAGAACTTGAACAAAGAAAGCAGATGGAAAAAATTTCTACGGTGGGGCATGAGTTGGTGAAAAAAAGAACTTCAAAAACAATAGCAACGATGAGCAGAGTTCTTGCATGGATCACCAGATTCGTCTTAGCCTCTTACATATAATTCTACGATTTCATGATTTCGTTATGTTGATTTGCTGAGTGGCTTCACTTTTCCAAATGAACGGGATTCCGAACTCAAGGGTCTCCGACCGGACTCCCTTTAAGATTACTGTATCCGAAAATACATGGTCCTTTATTCGTCGAAGTTGGAATTACACTTGAGCTTTCTTCTCGATAGGTTACAGGCACTTTGGCAGGCACATCTCCGCATTGAAGTATGTCAGGAATTATTGCGCTCATAAACAACGCTCGCGGTAGTTCACCTACCGGCAACGAAATTTGGCAAAAAAACTGCTAGAAAATTCTACAGCCACAAGCGAGATAACTGCGGCAGGGTTACAGCCCTCCCCTAAAAGTCTATCATTGGCTAGCCCTTCCTCTGATGTGATGAAATACGAAGAAATACTTTAAGACGATGGGCAGGACTAAGAGATTCCCAAGTGGCGGCGATCCCCCCATCCTGGGGCGGTATTCAATCCTTCCCCCAGGGGGATATATCCCCCTACTCTGATTCAATCCTCTGGGGGGACAAAAAAGGGTTGCGTCATAGGACCTAGCATACCTCTGTGTTTCTACCTGCCAGACAGTTAGAGCAGCGCGACCCCTCAGGGGAAAGAGTGCTTCATCAGTGGAGGGTAGTAGCGCTGCTCTAACTGTCTGGCAGGTAGAAACACAGAGGTATGCTAGGTCCTATGACGCAACCCTTTTTGTGTCCCCCAGAGGATTGAATCAGAGGGGGATATATCCCCCTGGGGGAAGGATTGAATACCGCCCCAGGAGGAAGGCGTCGATTCCCCGGTTGACGGTTACTGTTGACACCGGTCTTGGTAAACGCCCAATACATCTTTCGTCTGACCCTCTCTCGCCTTGTCAGGACTATACCAATTGTGATCAACATATTTCAAACTTGTACGCAACTTTTTAGTCGGCTCACCCACCTCGAAGTCCCTCCCTCCTACAAGGCTTATTGTTAGTCCTAGAGCTCTCACCTCCCTCCCTGGGATTTGGAGCGGAGCCAGGCGCCGTTCTTTAACTGTCTGTGCCCTCCGCCATTCGTGGCTACCTTTGGTGCGCAAAGAGCGTTTTACAGTTTTAACCTTTCTTTCATTGGTAGACCAACCACCACAACCTTTCACTTTCGCACATTAATCCTCCTACTCACTCGTGTAACGTGCCTTGTGGGAAAAGCCATCGTGGAGATTGTCGAGAGGTGTATAAGCCTGATTCGGTAAGGATTATTACAAGGTTGGTCGAAATTACCAAGTAGTAGATCACACGATGGAAGGACATGAGCCTTCGGAGCTGACAAGTGTCGCGAGCTTCGTACGAGAGTGTGAATGGATCATCACATATGAAGATGATGGGAAACATCCTGCGAAGCTCAAACTTTGGGACCTCAGAAAAAAAAAGCAGTGGAATATGATCATCCAACGTACCCTACGAGCTCAGCGATGAGTAACCAAAAACGAAAAAACGAAACTGTCGCCAATCAGACTATCCAGAACTATGGTATTCACACAAGACAGTGTCGGCTCACGGGCCGTTTATGCATTCATGACGAACCAATTTGCTCGATTTCATGTCGCACGAAATCGACCAGCCCAATCCCCCAACTTGGAAGCAAAGGATTATTCAGCGTGGGGAGTATTGAAGCTGAAGACTATTGCGGATAAACACAGGAAAAATGGAGCGTTAAAAATGTTCACCAGGAAGTGTGAGAAGGACTTTCGAAGGATGTTATCGAGGCACAGGACGATGCCTGTAAAGTCCGTTCAAAGTAACTTCTCAAGTTCATGAAGATCCATAATAACAGAAACTGTCAGGAACTTCGCTAAGACCAATATGGTTCGACCTTCCTGGTTCGAACAGGGTCGGTCCTATCGTTGTTACTTTCTGAAAAATTTTTACGACCCCCTCTCCCCAAGGATTGATACGACCCCCTTTTTCGACACCTCGACCACCATCATCGTCTCTATAGTACTTAATTCTGATACCACTCAACTCACCAAACCCGCCTACTACTTTTCCCCAAATAAAAAAATGCGCCCAGCGTCGAGCGAGTTCCACTACCATTTTACTTTTACCACGCTTTTACCACCTGAAAATGGCGATTTTTCTCCCCCGCGCTCCCACTCCCAACCTATACACCCCCATCCCTACAAAACTACAACCACGGTACGACCCCGCCTCCCGCTCCGCACCAAACTCCACCTTAGGTGGCAACCACCCCCCCCGTGTACTAGTGAACAACGTAGGGTGACCTGTTCGAACTGGGATGAAATGATCTGTCAACACGTTATGGCCCCGCTTCTATGGAATCTGACATTCCTACCCTGCAACGAGCTGTGACGCAGCTTAGCAATTAGGAAGGCATTTCAAAAGTTTTTAACACAGATACAATCGAAAATATTTCAGACTTTGCTTACTCTTTTACACTGTTGGTCCGTTTGAAAAGAACTACACAACAGCACGATATGTACCGAAAACGTCCGTAACCAGTACTTATTACATTTACAGTTACATTCAAGTCTGTAAGGCTCACCTCACGACATCTACCCACATAATTGTGTCTACAATGCTGAATTTCTAACGCCATAAGACCTACCGGTTCTCACACAAACCGCTGCATCGCCAAACATTTTCGTTGTGAAGGTGATGCTTCAAACGCACGAGCAGCAGCTGAAGATAACGACGCCGACGAGCTGCATAACGCAGCATGGCTTAACCCTGAAAAATATGAAGAAGTCAAGCTTCTAAAGAACCGTAAAGACACACCAAAATTACCTCATACCGTAAGTTAGTTAATCTACTTGGTACTGGAACGTGCTCCTAGAAAAAACACCAAATCGAGAGGGATAGGGCTTTAAACAACTTCCGGAGAGACGAGCACAATGGAATTAATCCAGTTAAATTTGAATTTACGAGGTAAAGTATTAAAGGGTCGAAGGTAAACACCATCGCGGTATCTCGCACGGAAAACTGCTTCACGCAAACTCGCCCTCGGCTTTTCGACCCGAATCGTCCTATTGCATGGAATTCTTGGGAAAGCTGGCCTACTTCCCATTGTTTTCTTCCCAGAATTTCAAATATTACGCGCTGTACCATCAACGCAATCGTTTCACGAAAAAGCTACTAGTTCATCACCTTCGAACGTAGTCGTGCTGCGCAAATTTCCCGACGAGTTGTCCGCCCATGTTTGTTGACAACCGACTTAATTTTTAATATGGCCTAAAATATTATATCTTTTTGTTCCCTTTATTCAGAAAGTATTCTCACATCGGTCTCTGCAAACGAAATGTTTGGAAGAAATTCTTTTTTAGCGAGATTTCTAGAATTTTAGTTTCAAGACGTTCTGCTTGTGAAAAGACCATCATGGATTGTAATGTTCTCCTTCTGTAATTTTTCACATGTGATGCTGGAACTGGCAATTGAAGGCCTTAAGAGAACTGTTGGCGCTGCCTACTGAGTGGTGAGGGGTAAGAGTTCGTGCGGACCCGTTAATCTAAATTTTACACAAGGAATTCGCCGTTTCTAGAGTTTTTGGGTCTGTTGCAGTTACGGGGGCATCATTATGCAGTCTCTCGGCGAACTAGTGCTCACACCTCACCCCGTAGACTGGCTACACTCCCCCTTGGCTCGAATTTACCCTAGCTTTCTGAAAAACTGCGTCATGATATACCCCCTAACTAGAATAGACCTGAATTTTTGTCATATAAAATTTGGTAGTGGATGGTGCGACCGAGTAATTTTAAGCACGGGTGGTAAAAATTTCAGGAGGAGGAGCTCTGGCGTTCGGTGATCAGGTAGGAGAAGCAGAAGGGATTTTCGTGTTACGGAATTGTGCCTTTCGGAGCTCCTTCCTCCCCCAGGCTTGTCCCCTCTCTTGTTTACCTTGGCTCTCCTGTACTGTCTAAGTGAACAGGGCTGAAATATTATCTGCTATGTAGTTCCTTTGAATTGAATGTGCTACTACCTCGTCCTTTGGAAGAAACTTTTTCTTTCCGGTTTGCTCGAGAACATCGTAGCGTTGCGGTTTACTCAGATGTTCCTGCATTTTTTGAAATCTAAATTACCATTTTCTAGAAATTGAATGTTGTATTTCAGGTACAATGCGTTACGTTTCCGCGTACCTCCTTGCAGTTGCCGGTGGAAACCCATCTCCAAAGGTTAATAGCATTGTAATGTGTTACACGGTTGTGTAAGGCTGGTGTCAGAGTCCGCGATCCGTCGCAGGTTTCGCTGATTTTCGCGATTTGCGCGATTCACGCGACGGGTCACGGAAATCACAAGTGCCCGACTCCTCCAATGTGTTC